TACGTCAATTAGTGCACAGTGAAGGTGAATTGAAAAGGACTTGTACCAGTAAGAGTGCTGATGCCAAAGATCAGTTCAAGATAGTTGGAAGGAGAAGGTAAGCGCATGCAGATAGTATCTTCTTCCGAACGTGAAATTTCCATCCCCAGAATAGTCGGCAGTGAGACGCGTAAGTTGCTAATGGAGGAAGTCAGGGCTATCAGATGAATCCTCACCTTTCGCTTTGGATGCTCGGCGGTTGGGATGGACGATTTCTTCCCGACAAACATCCAATCCATTTCTCTGCGTGATCGGTTCTGCTCCGAGATAGGTTTAGAAAGCAATTCTCCCACCTGCGGAGGCATGCCTTGCTCTCGAGCATCCTCTTATTGCAGACAGCAAATGAACTTCGAAAACCTCACAACAGAAAGGAAAAAGTATCTTAGCTTCTCATCTAGTGTTAGCTTGACATCCTTAATTGGTGAAATTCCGGTGTGGTTCTTCGAAAGTTGAGACACTTACTTTATTATTAAGGGACATAATTTTTCAAAGAATTTTAAATATTACTTCTGCTTTAACCCATTCAATGCGAGTCTCTGGCATCCTGGGAAAGGGTTCCCATTTAAAGTACAGGTATTTTGGCAGGTAAACCGTTTTAAAATAATCACAGTTCTCTTCCGAGTGGGTAGAGACTGCGACGAAGAAAGCGAGGAGACAGACATGACTCACGACGCTCTGCTATGATGTGAGTCAGTTTCCATATTAGAGGACTCCAATAGACCGCTCAGATCCAGCTGCGCTTGAATGAAGCTATTCCATAAAGACATGTAAAGAAAACCATTGAGGCAATTTCCTGGCTGTGATATTGCCATGCACGGATGGATGGTAATGAAATGAAACATGTGACGTAAGTCATCTTACCATGATTGACGTTCCTCCACCCGTTGTAGGAAGTGGAGGGAAACGCTGTTCCCATTGCTGCCTCTGCAATGACCATAACATAATGCATAGCTTTTCGGTCAGTGAATTTAATTAATTATAGTTAGACAAAAATTGCATTAATACAGAAAATGATAGAAACTGGATTTGGATGTAACGAATAAAATTTTCTTGGAGGATCGCACTATCTAGGTGACCCTTGCTACAAACAAGATGAGAGATAATTTTCTTGAGTCTAAAATGAGATCATTTCCTGTATCACTCTCCCCCTCCCTCGCATTGGCGCATAAAACGTAATTCGACGTGACTCAGTAGAGAGGGGAACTGTTTCCATAATCCATGCCTGATTGTGCGAGAGCAATGGCAGTCCTACGTCCATTTCTTGCAGGTGGCCAATGATTTCCTGTCTTGAAATAACGAAAATGATGAGTTCTAAGAAACTTGTGTAACTAAAAGAAATCCAACGAAATGAAAAAAATCCGTCTATGACACCCTTCTAAAAAACATTCATTGTCCGCCAACTTTGCACGAGGAAGAAAAGGAGAATGAACCTCATAAAAGATATTTTAAAAAAAGGAAGTGAATCCAAAAGTTCTCGAAAGCCATAAATCAAACGATTTGGATCTCGGCGTAGAGGGTAAGATAAGTAAATTTGCCGACTTACCCTAAAATAAAGGAACGCTCGACCTCGACACGTGATATCGAAATGGGCGAAATCGCCTCTTTATGTCACTAACTATCTTGACTTAACGATGGCGGTGCCAAAATCAACGATGACTTACTCGATCTTGAGACGAACTTTTCGTCGTGCACAAAGACGAGAGCACGAAAAAGGTCTACGTATGTCTTTTGGGTCTTTCCATGATGGAAGCATTCACCGTTTCACCTGGCAAATCTGAAATCATTGGCCATCTGCCGCCGTCTATCCTGCCATTTGGGGGCGCAGTTTGTTGTATGGTTTTTCCCAGACATTAACTGCTTTTAGGGAGTCCGTTGTGTCTGGTTTGGCAGTTCTTTGAGTTCTTTTTACGGTCCGCCTTATCTCGTCAAATATAGCAGCCATATTGGATGGGTTTGGGTTGGAGAACGAATTCTACAACGCTCAGGCAGCCTAGCTTTTTTTTTTTAACAACGTCCCTTACGGTGTTAATATCCTTATCGATTCCTACGCCCTTCACAATGAACTTCACGACAGTGGTCCTACTTCGTGCGGGGAAAGCTACACCTCCAATCCCCGACTCCGCCCATTTTCTCCCAATGCACGCAACGTCGGAAGGTTTGCTGCAGCTCAGGACGAATCCGGAGGTGCGAGGGGATGTCAAGCAGCCGAGTTTGAGGAAAAGAGGTCATGAAGGTCCTAACGAAAGCAATCTTCTGAAGATTCGGATGAGGCGGTTGCACGAACAGCGGGTTGGAGAAAATGTTTGGGTTGTTCGCAGGTTGCGGTTGAAAAGGGGAGAGATAAGGAGCGGAGTTGGTTGTAGGAGGAGTAAGCATCATCATTTTCCTTTGCACAGATGGAAGCATTCAAATAAATTGAGTCACACTTTTCGAGTAATTATTACCAATATGCCTACAGGAATGCCCGACCAAGTAATCTCATTAATCTTATGCAGGAATGAATCGGTTGCACCTTTATGGTAAATGCGTCTATACAGCGTGATTCAAACTTTGCTTCGTTTATTCAGTCCAAACACAACACAAGTGAACATGTGAAAACGAAACACAATAGTCCTTTTATGTCAAATGTTTCTGGGAGAACGCTGGTCTGTGGTAATAAAAGTTTTCACATTTTCTTAACGGACAGCGTGAAGTTTAATGGGTTTTTCTCCCACACTGGGGATTTTAATCACATTTTGGACAATTCCGCTAATGTGATCTTCCAAGTTTATCTCGCACATGCCTTTGTTTCACGTGTTGGAGCTGCGCTTCCATCTCATTCTTGCAGAACCACTTTAAATGTTCGAAATTCAACCGTACATCCGTCATTTTTAAGATAATTTATATAACTTCAAACGATAAAAATTGTAAATATTGAATGCTGGCAACTACAACATTTACCATTTACATAGTGATTCAAAATGTGTGCGTACATTATTTTGAATCACCCGGTATGGTAATAGTTCCGTTGGCCAGCCATGAACCCATAATAACCACGCCACTGTTTTGATTCCTGTTTGAGTTGATTTCAAATTGGTTCCGGTTGGAGTTAAATTCGCGTACATACGCATTGTCATCCGTCAAAGTGAAAATCTTAAGACTAATCTCCGAACAGCATGTGAAATCCAGTGATTCAGCACTCGCTTCATGACAAGGTTAACTTCGTTCACATAATCCAAGGCCATTGACTCCGGTCTTGGTAAATGCTTCCACCAATGATACCTCTTTGAGAGACATCAGGCACTGTATGTGTGCATTCCGTTTCCTATCGCATCAATACAGTAGTGGCCAAAAGTTTAAGACCACCCCTCGAATTTTAGTTTGAGGCAACAAATCGCATATTTACTCGGAATTAATCTTCAAGAACTGATTTTATTTTTTGAATGGTCCAACATCAAAGGCTTTTACACTATAAGCACATGCTTTTTTTTTTTACAGAATTCTTAGATGTCAGTTATAAATCATACAGGAGGTAATGTAAATTATTGGACGAGGTTTGCAGAGCCGTACGAAAGGTGTTCTGAAGCCGTTATGAGTTGACTCTAATCGTGTATCCAAACATCTTTGCTGTTTCCAGTTCTTTGGCACTACTTGGCTGTTTATCTGCAACTTTGTCCTGGAGAACGACCCATAGATTCTCTATGGGGTTCAAATCAGGACTGTTCCCAGGCCAGTCAAGGACTTTGATATTCTTCTTCTTCGAGAACTCAGTCACAATCTTAGATCGATGGCAAGGCGCATCATCCTGCATGAAAATCTTGCACTTACGTACGGCCATGTGCAGCTCCAACTTGTCTTTCAGTAAATCAACGTACTTTTTTCTTACCAACCGGGACGACCATGAACGGCCAAGAGTCCAGCCGTTCCGTTGACCGACATGGCGCCCCATATCATGACACTCGGCGGGTGTTTCATCGTTTGTACGGTGTACCGTTCATCAAATCTTTTTCCAGTCGGCCTCCGGACATAGCGCTTGCGTGCGGCGAACTGCTGGATGGTAGATTCGTCCGAAAATAACACTTGGTTCCACTATTCAGCAATCCAATTCACGTGTTTTTTCGCAAAGGCCAGGCGTTTGTTCTTCATAGCCGGTGTGAGACGTGGTTTTTTCGCCGGTTTGCACGATTTCAAGCCAAATTCTTTGATCAAACGTCGACTCACGGTTCTGCAACTTGCGGTCAGCACTTCTCGCAAAAGGTACGGATGTATCTTGCTTGAGGAACTCATTGGGAATCCTCCTTATGGCGTGGTCGTCCCTCGGTGTTTGGTCTTTCGTGGACGCCCAGACCGCTTTCTGTCCGAATAAGTCCCCGAATTCGCAAATTTCACGACTGCATTAACTTCTCACTAATCGCTCGTTCAGAATATCCTTCCTGGTGAAGAACCACAATTTGTGCCCTCTGGAATTCCGTGAGTGACGCTTTTTTTTAACCCATTTTCGTGGGTTTTTGGAAAAGGCAAAACACAGCGAAATGCGGCGTAATGAAGTGTTTACTGCGTGATGGTCAATTGAAAAGTGACTGCGTCATACTTACGTCGGCCTATTGTAATCACCGCGTTCAGAAGAAACATTTTCTCAAGGGTGGTCTTAAACTTATGACCACGACTGTAACACATGCTGCCACACTGCATTCTGTCTGGTTATACTAGTTTGGGTGATTGACCCACTCGAGCATACCAGCATATTTAGGCGGCCACATAATTTGGCAATAAATTTACGTAATTTAATAGCCAATTGCTGCGTTCTCAATAAACCAGGATGAATGCGAACCAGAATAGGGCCAGGGAAAAGTCACTTCCGCATCTTCAAAGTCTCAAATATGAATGTATCACGTCCGTTGCGCATCAGCATAGAAAGTTTTTCGCTCAGATATTAACCCCCTTGCTCACTAAACAAGTGCGCTCTGGGAGCGACGACATCGATGACAAACCCTGAACGACCCGCTGAGCTGAAGAACGAAGATCTGCAGCAGCTGATCTATGAAGACCCGAGCCAATTTTCATGTCAACTGGTCGCATCCGAGCTGCTGTCCAAAAGAACCATCATCAGACATCTCTACGACCTCGACATGGTGCGCAAACAAAGCGTTTGGGTACTTCACGAAGTTAGCGAAGAAAACAAGGCTCAACGACGATTTGTGCTTCACTCCCGGCAGCCCGAAAAAATTTTACGGCCGACCAGATATTCGAGTAAATATTCGAGTAAGTTTTCTTACTTATTCGTACTTCATCGGAATCTGTGGAAATTAATGCCTAGCAGAATTATAACTGCATAGCAATGATAATCCCCTTTATAACCATGTCCAATTCTTTTTTCTGTCTCAGTTTATCTAGTTCGTGAAAGGAACGACAATTCGCAACCGGAGAGCGAAATTTATTCATTTTGCCTACCCCTCCCATAATAGTGGTGCTTATTTCGAAGTCCCACATTCCTTCCGTTTGAACTTCTGGATATGACTTTATGTGCATGCCAGGAAATTTTTCGGTTACGTAATACAATGGTTCTTACTGCAAGAGAAATCATCATTTATAAAAAAAATTTTACGGCCGACCAGTGGCGCAGCAAGAAATCTTGGGCCCCCCAATAAAAAAAAAACTCATCTTCTCATAACAGATTTGCTACTCACTGTATTAATGAAACAATCTGACATTGACGCATGTATACATAGGACGAATTTTTCCAGATAAGAATAGGGGAAAAGATGAAGACATGAATCTGATGCACTGCATTGGCGTCCAAGCATTCAAAATGACATTTTTCTTGCTTTAGCCTCGGCAAACATGTCGGAAGCAGGGACTGTTTCCCTGCTTGGAAACATTTAATCTGGCAAGGATACTGGGATCGGTTCGTCCATCCTCACTGAAGTGTTAGAGACTACCACAAAAGAAATTTCCATTTCTGGGGAAGCAGGCGAAGAAGCAGGTAAAAATGAAATGACTTGCTGACTTATTTGGGCATGATAAATCTCTAGCTGACATTTACGCGACATAATTCCAGTCTCATTTTCTTCGGCTTGAAGATCTACAATGTCAATTTTGAGCCATTATCAGTTACATTTGGGACAAAATAAGAGTATTTATTGTGCCGAAATGTAATGCTTCTTCCTTTGTGACTATGTACAATTCTACTGATCGTAATGCGAATTCATTAAATATAAATTAAATAAATTCACGAGTTTCCAACGCTGTCATGAAGCACATGACATGTAGACTAGAAATGTACGCCAACAAATGAAGAATCCACTCATCAGCCAGAGTAAGAAAATTTTATGTTTCACGCAGCACTTGCTGGTGGTACCCTATCCAAACGACAAAAAACAACTCCACAGAGGAGAAGAAAGACGAGGAAAGCTGCACTTAGCAGATGGACTGTGACAACGTTGCAGAGTCCAGCTGCTACTAGTGAGAGTAATTTGTCGAGTTCACCTGGCTACGCAGGTATGTCTTTTCTTGATTTTTGCTTGATGAAATGGAATTTTAGTCGTAATAAAAGGAATTTCAACTATATTAAAGGTCAACTCCCAACGACAGCGACTAACAGCAGTTCCTCAAACAGTGCCTCTGAAGCATCGGAAACCTCATCAGCCGGTATGCTATAGCTGCATATGAATATGACCATCACAGAGTCCCTGCCAGCTGGGATGGACTTGCACTCTTTCGATTAGCCTGTTTTTTAAATAATCTTATTTATTCTTCCTTACCAGATGAGGGAATGGTCATTGGAAACCTGCCCCGGGTTTTTTTCCTAACTGACACAGAAGCGCTGAAGAGGTTCTTGGCTGCCCATCCACCAACCTAGTTATGATATTGTCGTCCAAGATAGACAGCTCCATTCAGCATTTCCACCACCGGTGAACTACTCGGTGTCTAAAAGACTGCCGACGAATGCGAGACCAGTGTATAAAAATAAAACTTTTGCATTAAAACTTGTATAAGTTGGAATAATTCGCATCTTAAGTGCGCTATTTCTCCTTCATCGTTACATTCCAAGAAAGCCGTCATTACCCCGTGGAAAACTCCAACTGTCCTTATTACTTCGCAAGAGTCGTAGGTGGTTTACCAAAACTGCTAATAAAGGCGTTATCTAGGAAGCCTTGTCGGAGTGTCCCATTCTGTCTCGGGAAAAGGAGGAGGCATCATCGTTGAATTCGAGTGTCAGTCATGTCAGTCAAGGCGGCTTCGATTCGAGTCATCCCTCTTTCTTCAAACATCTCGCCGACTCATCAATAGCATCTTGCTGCAGGTAGCTTCAATAATTGCTGGTCTAACCTACAGTCAATATTTTCGAATGTTTGGATTAGGCGTAGGCATGGCTGCTGTCACTCCTAAGACTTATGCCAGAACACTTCTCGACATGTACCACCCTGTCCAAACTATGGTGGATAAGATGTGCAGCAGGACCATCTATGAGATGCTGAAGAAGGATCCAGGAGAGGTGGGCTGCATATCCCGTGCCATCACAACGAGTGATGGTGCATGGCTAACCAGGGGATCCCACAGTAAAAATTCCTCATTTATCATCAGAGATTTTCTCACAGGTGGGTATCTGTATGTTCTTCACCTCTAGCAGCGCGAGAGGGACAGGGTTTGCAAGGTTCCCCTTTATGGTGGAACATCTAGATCAGCTGAAGGATATGCAGCCAGTGAAGGATTTCGGTATTTGAAGACTCGTGGAGTCCATGTTGAGGTTAACTGGCAGGATAAGGACTCCACAAGTAAGCTCAGCTTCCGAGAGGCTTACCCCGACGAAGCATTATCCAAAATCATGATTTGTGGAGGCCATGCAGCTCGATCGCATACCAACGTCCTCCAAAAATATGCTGGTCAAAAGACAGTCACGAAAGCCTTTGCCGACAACCACAAATCTCTCTTCCCCAAGTTGTTCTCGTTAAAGTGCAAATGCTTGGGAAAGAAGCATAGAAGTACTCCATCTTGTGGTTGCATGACTGATTCATTTGTGCGATATGCTCGAGTAATTTTTTTTTCAGCTCTCGTCGACGCAGATGCTACGAAAGACCCAGAGGTTTTCCGGCGGAACCTTCAAGATCTTGCTCTCCATCACGTGAAAGATAAGCACGCGTGGATTGAAAGCGGGGAACTTTGACGTTGTCAATTTCACCCGTATGAGGTATGCGGATGCGGAAAATGCTCAGACGATGAAGATCTCTCTCGCTGTAGAAAGCGAAAGAAATATTCCGCATCCATGACGCTCACCTGCCCTCTTCATTTAGCTCTTCATCAAATTGAATGCCTTTGAAAGGCTGATGAATGTCAGCAATACATTCATCCAGACCTTGGTAAAGGCCATAGCAATTTACCTGAAGCTGCCCACAATGTATACATCAGATATCGTTCAAAATACGTGCAGCTTGAGCGCTTGCATTACTGTATCTCAACAAACCTAGCAGTTCTGCAGAGCGCGACGAATTGGGCCTCAGAAGTATATGGTAGTCATTATTACTGGGTCAAGGAATTGTACGAAAGGATGGAGTTATCTGTGACAGATGGAATGTTGAATAACATAAAATCTATGCTTTCCATTCGCAACAGGGTTCTTGAGGCCCAAAAGAGTGAATCCAAGAAGAAGTATCGCGTGAGGATGAAGAAGGCGCGTTTAGAGGAAAATGATGAGAGGAAGCGTTGGATGAAGACCCAGGCATTCACTCACGATTATGGCAGTGCAGAGGACGAAAGTGAAGAAGAAGTAGAAATTGAAGAACTAGGGGAGGAGATAGGAGCATGCAACGAGGCTATCCTTTTCACATCGAATCTTCTTGTAACAGCTACAAAAGAAGTCTAGGATTTTCCTTAGCTCCTCTTATTTATGGCCATGAGTCTAGCATGATTCTATATTGAGACATTGTCAGCTTTGTATCCCTCGTTCCTGTTTCTCTGCCCTTGGCTGTTACTTGCAGTTCACGGGGTATTCATTTGCTTTTTCGATGTCCATCTGATTCAGAAGGTAAGAAAATTTGCTTTCTTCCCAATAGGCGAGAGAATCAGGGGAAGAAGTATTGCATATTAGCCTTTGTATATACGGTATATCACGAGTATTAGAGCTCACCAAAAGCTGGATAATTTTGGATTTTGGATAATTTTTATCTCTGATGTAGTTATACGTTTCATTGACCTCAAATATGCAACTATTTTGCTTCATTTCTGCATTTCAGTATCACAAAAATGAATATAAGACACATTTATCTGGCCGAATGTTTTCATCATAATTGCTTTCAGGAGCATGCGGAATGGTTGGAGAAGGCGGCGAGAGGAGTCTCAGAAGGACGGAAAGCAAAGCATTCGAACTCGTACAAAGGAAAAAAATCAATAAAGATAGGCGCCAGTGGAAGTCGCACAGGTCTCCTTTCCTTCCCCTTCATCCACAGACATTCACAAGCACGGGCGTGCATGAGAGCGTGAGGCGGGAGGGATGGTTCAACAGGGAAGAGCGGCGCACAAATGTTGAAAATTCATGCAAGTCGGCAATTGAAGCTCCGCGTTCTCTATTCCCTGAGAGAAAGTAAGCAATCTTGGTGCCATTTGATTCCTGAAACACCCCTTGATGCGATAGGCACAAAAAATCCTGTATTTGCGATCGATGAACAGAGAAAATCGACCCGGTATGACAGAAATGGCCTCAATTTTAAAATGGGCCACAGCAAAAAACGATAGGCTCCGAGGATAGCGAACGGATTCCCATTCTCCACCAGACTCTCCCAGACAACGTAGGATAGTACCGTCAATCCTAACGATCGGTAACATTTAGGCTCTTAATCCGAGACACATGAGCAGGGCTCTACTTAGATTGAATGCCATTGAAGTTATGAAAAGAACCTATCCGATACGTTTATTTATGTAGGATGAATCCCCAAAAACAAAATTTTATTGAGCAGTTACCCTGGAAATATATAATTCACGTAGTTCCAGAAACGCATAATTTGAACTGTTTTTCATTGTTTTGAATATTGAACATTTAAGCAGTTAATAGAACGTTTCCAAGAACATTAATGGAATGCTGGCCAAAACTTGAATGTAACGTTGATTGAATGCGTTCGGGTCCTACTTGGGGGATTGTCTCTGAAAATCATGGTGATTCCTTCCACGACAACACATTTCCTTTCCTCCGGTTTGCAGCAATGTTTTCCTGCCACTAGTTAAAATAGCATCATAATATTTGGGAAACCTTCCATAGTACTTATCGGGTACATCGCCTCTAAGGAAATTATTTGCAGACGCCTTTTTTGGACATTTTCCCGATAGAATAAAATGAGCATTTCTGTTGAGTTAGGATTGCTACATTTTAAAATAGCATAGACTCTTTGGAAAGAGCAAATACAAAGTATATTAGACGCTGCTTATTGTGATGACGTTGGTGCAATGACACTCGATAATACAGTGAAAGGCGGCGGGAATCAACAACGACTCGAAAGTGCAGTTTTTATTCAACTAAATCGATTTCCTTGAATAGTAATCTTCCTAAGTCCTTTATGTGGAAGTGGCAGTTATGAGACCTCGTTATAGTATCGGAGCGACATGAATTTTTTTGGTATGGAAGTACTTGTCGATATATAGCTATTGAAGAATATCTCGCTTTTGCGATTTCATCCCCAGGTGCATATTTTTTTGGGAGACGCTTTCTTGTATACTTGCCATATGACATTTCCAATCCATTCCATCAATCACAGAAGTTACAATCTTCTCGAAGAACAATAACTGAAGAAGAACATTAGAAGAACCTAAACTATTTTAGACCACATTCACCAACATAAATCCAACCGATTAAAAATAAAACCTGAGTAGAGTCTTCCTAAAACCGGTTCATATTTTTTGTGACATGCAGATGGCGTTTAATTCATGCGGAGCTGGTCCAGGCGCGGAAATGATATGCGATGGATATGTCACTTTACTGGAATGCTGCGAGGTCGTGGAGGGCACTCTATCCACGAGTGCATGCTATGATTCCAATGGGACGATTCCAATAGCTGACTCACCCTGTATATTAGATACCATTGCCTGGAACAGAGGTTCTCAATCGGTGGGTTGTGAGATAAAGAAATGGATTAAACGTATTTAAAATTAAAATTAAAAAAATTGAGAGGGGATGGAGTAGACAAGAGATCAATCAAAGGCAGCAAACCAAACTAAGAGAAAGAAACTATTGTGAAAGGACGCAATGCAGATGATGTGCGAAGTATTGTGACACTGAGATCAATTCACAACTGATGAATAGTCTGTTACCTTGACCCCACATAGGGCACACTCCATATCGTCCGAAAGAGCATTTGCATTGATTTGGACATCAGAACTTGGATCAGTTGCTTTATTGGTTGCCTTTAAATCTGCAGAACCAGATTATTCCTACTCCCAACTTCCTTACTTCGTTTCATTTTCCTTTTCCCTCTCTTCCCATTATTTCCTTCCCTCTCGTGATTTTTCTCCTCACGCTCCTTCTTTCGCTTCTTCTTAGCCTCCTGTTCTTCCACCTTCTGCTCATGCTGACGGTAATGCTCGCGACATCCTTGGGACGTGATAGCAAACGGTAATTTCTCTTTCTTATAATATTTTCTTTTGTTTGAGCTGGTTGAGGGTTCGTCTGGCCAAGTGAGGTGTGTAGGAAATGCTACCGAAACAGAACTTTTACTCACTTCTACATGATTATTTTGAGAGTTGGGCATGCTCAGTGGTGATGACTAATTTTCGGCACTTGACTACCAAGAACCAAACATAGATGGCTCATCCACGCTTGAGTTGGAACGGATCCCAATTGCGATTATAATCGAAAAATGATCTCTGGCAGCAGAGTCACCAGCACTTGTCGCAGAGGCCTCACCCAGTTGTGTTGTAAGTAGACCATCGCCCTTTACTGAACTTTCTGCAACCGTCTCCGCAGTTTGCTTTAAGGTAGCGTTTCGCTGATGGTGCATTTGCTAACGAAGCGAAAGACGATAAAGGACTCCCTCATCTTCAGCTGGGTCTGCCGTTCCATCTTCGATATTTTGAAATCGACGAAGTACATCTTGCCCCACCTAGCGTTCAATAACCTCCAAGACATTCTCCCCGCTGACTGACTCATTGGGCAGACAGATATCCTGCGTTTGGCAAATTGTTGACGGTCCCTGATGACCCATGATACATTTTGTATAGTCCAGTGTCTGGATTTAAGGGATATAGGCTGCAGGCTCGAAATCCATTAATGGTGGTAATAGGTGCTGCCCTTTCATTGACCGCTTCCATCGCTATTGGTGTAAACACTGGTTTTGTGACCACCGTGTTAGGGTTTTTGCCTCCCCGACAATGAACGACGTTTCTCCAGGCTTTTTTGATTGGCACGAAAACACTAACATAAGCAGGCTGTACAATGTATGTAGCATTTGTGTTGAGGCAGTAAAGAATGAGTCTATTTTCCACACAGAATGTACTCAGTTGATAGGTAAAATGGGTTTTGTGACCATCGATGAATTTAATCACTGGTAAGTTGATCTGCTTCCTAACAATCTATGGATGAAAAACGTTGGCCACGTGCTCAAAAAATTTATCTGACTTCATCCAACAAGTTTCTGATTTGCCAACACTCCATGTATTAGGAACCGACTCGACTATGTCACGAGGTGCCTTAATATCGGGAAACAGGAACATTCCAGGCACTATATCCCCTGCAGCAGTAATAGTCCCTAGCACAGTCAGAGATTCTTACTCGTTGCCCTGAATTATTTCATAAATGTTCCTCCCCCTTTTGGACCCAAGGCTTTGCCAGTTTTAGAACATGGAAGTTGGTTTCGTCGGCATTGAATATCGTTGTTGGATCTTCTGTGATATCGGTACACTCCGACTCCTCCAGAAATGACTGTACCCTGCACTGGATCCTGCTGTATTTATTTATTTTTTTTTGCCGTAGAGAGTTAGCCAAGGCCAGAGTCAATGACGATGACATAATCACAAAGGTATTGCAGCATTTCTGCATCTCTTTCATGTTATGCTGAGGAGTTACTTATTCCTCATCTATTCCTCACCAGCTGAGAAGCAGGAATTTCCCGGGATGTGTGCAGAAACTTCCCTGTGTTACTCAAAGAGAATAAACAAGGAGGGAGTATTGTTTGTGAAAATCTGAAAGGTAAGCAATTGTTTTGAAGCTAAATTGCAGAAAGCACCGCATGTTAAATCTTATTTAGGAGCTTTGGAGACCAATATCTGATCTCTAAAGACAGATGTTTGAAGATCTATTGTGTGCCAATTTTGGTACACTTGAGTGATGACTTTGCTCATTTCCAAGCTGGGTCATGCAGTCTTCCAGGTATAACCATCTCCAATTCCAGCCTGGATCAAATAGTTTACCAGCTAAGACACTATAGTTTCCAGCCGGAAACCAGTTATGTTTCCATCTGGGAACTATATGGAAAAGGTCCAAATTTACAGATGGAACTATCTAAAATATCCAGCTGGAACCACCAGCTGGAATTATTGACTGGGATACGCATTGAATGTGGTGATCCTGTTAAAATCCGCAATACATATGTTGGCGGCTATGACACCAAAGGTCAAGTATCGCGCTTTTGTCCTATTTCGTTTTTTTCATGTCGATGTTGGGAAACGTACATTATTTACCAGCGTCACTTTAGTATATATTTTTTAATCACTCATGGTCTAGGACGAATGAAAGTATGAAGGTGGATCAAAGTGACGACCGAATATTTTCTTCTTGCCATCTGTTTCACGCAGTATCAATCACAAGTTCATTTGTCAAGACTCACCCCTCTCTTAATGCGAATACTTACCCTGCAAAGTCTTTTGTCGTGGATAGAATAC